ATATATATATATATATATATATATATTATATGTGAAATACACACCATTGTGTTATATATGTGATATGTGATATCACACTATTATATATACATATACATATATATACAGCATATATATATACATACATATAATATATATATATGTATATATATATATATATATATATATGTATATAATATTGTGATATCACTATACCTCTTCGACATAGGCTTACTAGCCAATCCATACAATGGCGATAAACAGCGTAGGCCTACTTCTATGTAAATGATTCTTTCATTGCATGTTCAACAGTGGACATGAATGTCGCAGTGATGTTACCATAGATACGGTAAATAAATATTGAAGCAAATGTGGTTTTTTAAGTATATTATATTTTGCTGTGTCAACATCGCTTGTAACAGTCTTCACATCTCTGCCGTTGCATGAAATCGCGAAGGGTGTAAACCGTTGAACGGTTTGGCCTTCTATTGACAAAATCGGATGCGTAAAAGCGTAACAAATACTCTGCATATCTGCGCCTAAAGATAGTTTATACACCATCTACCAGTGGTGGCGCCAGAGGGGGCTGGGGACTATAGCCCCCCCCCCCCCAGTCGGGGAAGCCGATAAATTTTGTCGGGGAACAAACAAATAAAAAAATATTTACATGTAATATTCGTTTAGCCACCATATCGTTTGTGTTAACGTTTCATCACAACAACAACCACAATAACAACAACAACAACAATAATAATAATAATAATAATAATAATAATAATTCAATGAGAATAATTAAAAATAATTTGCGTTCTGTTATGACAAATGCTCATTTAGATAGCCTCATAATGGTTGGAATAGGTGAAGCAACCTCGACCATGACAACGTGGTTGACAGATTTCATGCAAAATTTCCAAAATATAGAATTTCACTTTCAAGAATAAGGATTTTAAAATAAATTAGATGGTTACATTGCATACTCTTTGTTTTCTTGCTTTATTCAAAATGTTTTGGTTTTGGAAGCTGATTTCAACATTAGAAAGCATAGCCTACATGAAGTCATATTATAGTAACTCGATGCCTATCAAATAAGTAATAAAATTTCGCCATAATTCATCAAATATCCGTGGCTTCCAGGGGGCCCACCGGGGGCCCTAGGCGACCCCCTGGCCCCCAGCCAAGTGAGACTCGATTCGCTCCACTAGCCCCCCGCCCCCCGTCGGGGCCTTTAGCCCCTCCTTGGGCAGGCCCTGGCGCCACCACTGCCATCTACTCCAACTGCAAATACACAGTAGAATGTGAGGGGCGCGACAAGAAGATGAAAAGTATTATTATAAGTACACTGTAAAAAGAATAGGCCTAGGCCTACTTACAATAGCTAGTTGCACCGGCTGCCGTGTCTATGTATATTATAGTGAATAGCAGTAGACGAATCATCCTATCCGAAGTTGTAAACTGTTTAGTTTTTCCAGCATTAACTATTATTAATGCATCATTTTGGACGTCAAATTCATATCTTCTTATCCGTAGTCCGCGCAGTAACGTTTTATTTGAATTCGGATTCACTGAGCAGCAATTTTTGGCATTGACCCAGAATTTCGCACGCACCCAGCAAAGGTTTCCTTTTCATTATGTTCAGAAGTGACTGCGGCTATAGATCCTATCAAGTACCCATTATGAAGGGGCATGCAATTATTAACATTCTTCGTACAGCCAGTTGTTACCACATAGCAACCGTCACAATACAACCTCAATCTCAAAACGTAGCACTATTGTCAAATTCAAACTTGTATTTATTCAAATTAACTAAACTTCAACTAGGACCGGCTTATTATTTAGGTACGTATGAGTAACAGTTATGAAATGTTTGAATATAATTATCAAAACCACCATAACCTATGGCAATATCATCCTTCTTGTGTGATATAATTTGTCGCAAGTTTTAAAGCCCCCAGGCAATGACCTTGTTACCGGAATTATCTATTGTTAAGTTGTTCAATGAGAATATAACAACAATTCACACGATGGGACAGTGAACTCATAGTTTGTTTAAGAAACCACTGATGAACGTCAAATACTGAAAAACGGAGAAAGCGCACGCAATTATTGTGATTCAAAGGTTTACACGTACCTATGGAAACCAAGTTTCTGTAGTAGCGAGAACACTCAGTAAACGGAATATACAGTATTAGAACACATTAAAGTACCACAGCTATTTCCAACGACTCACCAATTAAAATATTAATAACAATGACATATAATTTTTAATATATTTTGTCTAATGATGTAATGATATTAATAGTACCGTGATACTACTACTACTACTACTACTACTACTAATAATAATAATATCTAAGCCTAATACAATACTAATTTTAATAGTAGGGCTAATAGGTGTAGTTAGGTTCGATTATATAACGTCTGAAAACATTGAACTACAAGAACACAACAAGTATTTTGTGACTTTCTTAACAGACGATTATTAGTAGTACCATTTCTAATTCATCTTAACATTTATCAAGACATTCCTCTCTGTAACATTGTTTAGTGTTCCATTAACACATATGTGGCCATTTATGTTTTATTTCTATTTTCACATTATTATTATTATTACTGTATTATTATTATTATTATTATTATTATTATTATTATTATTATTATTATTATTATTATTTTATCATTATTATTATTATTATTATTATTATTATTAGGACAAACTTTCTTCGTTCTTCGTATTGCCAATATTGCACAGTAACCTTTAATATAGGCTAAGCGCCAACAACTATTACATAATGCCTAATAGGCCTAAGACCGAATATTGCATTTGAATCTGCCTGTGAAAAAAAAACTTATTGAAACAAAAACACCTGACGATAAATATGGTTTTAAATTCTTTAATATATATTTCATACATTAGAAATTAAATTCTACGGATTTAAATAAAGTTAGGCCTATAAAATATTATAATAAAATTATGTCTATATTTATACCAATAAACGGTTATATTGCTGATAAGTAAACAAATACTTTCGGATTGTTCTTAAATTGGCATACTGGACTTGGATTCCGGATAACTTTGTTAAAATAATAATAATTAAACAAACATCATAATAGTATATGTCATTCTCATAGCGTTTCATAAGGTCTTTATGCGCTTCACATTATTATCCCGGATATTTGATCAAACACTTAAAGAAAACATATGGCTTCTCCTGGGAGCGTATTACATGCATTTGCAGCTAGATACCACCCTGTATACCAACTATCCATGTGTACTCTGGGGAGAGAGAGGGAGGGATGGGCTAGCGAAGCCAAACCGAACGCTGATGCCTCGCAACACCTAGGCCTTTCAAGGGGGGGGGGGAGACATTGGCGGACCAGAAATTCCCCGACCAGGGGTCTACCCCGGGCAGGAAAGCCTAGACCCCCTCCCCCCGTCGTGGAAAAAAATAATTTGTTGGGGAATTTTGTTATTAAAAAATAATAAAATCGTGTGTTAATTATTGAATTCTTTATTTAAAAGATAATTTTATAGAGAACCCTGCAAGTTAAGAGTCCCCCTGTCGGGGGTACTACTAGACCCCTGTCGGAGGTACCATCACCCTCTCGGAAAGAGCTGGCGCCACCACTGCAATCTATGGGGTCGTAATAAGATACAACACCTCGCACATACGGTAGCACTGCTCGCACTAAACAGTTTTCAATGCCTAAAATTTGACAACTTAGCCCTAAGGCATGCTTAAATTGTACTTCCGGCACTCCAGATTTGATTCTTCTCCGACGACCTTGCTGGAAATTCCCCAACAGGGGGGTCAATGTGGGGGTCCAGGTCCCGACGGGCCCCCTCCCCCTCCCGGACCACACTAGCGTCACTAGACTCTGGTTTTGCTCGAACCCAGATATCTCGATTAAAAGCCAGGAACATTACCTCTCTGTTACATACTTCAAAATCATATATGCCTAACATGGTAGACATGCTCGACACAATAGTTATTATTCTGTTGTATAGCTTGTTGAATATAATATATTATAATACTAAGTACGGTACCAAACAATCATAAATTTTACATGCAATAAACGAACATCATCGACCTTCGCGAACATGGCCGCCAGCTCCATTTTCAAGTTCATCATCTAACAGAAGTGGCGCCTGGGCTAAAAAGACGCCTCGTTTAGGCGGCATAATTCTTTTTCCAGTGGTCGGTGTTGAGTTAGAGCTAGAGAACGCCAATGTTGATGGTAAACTTTGAGAGGAAGGAAAGCTTCCATCTGGAGAATTAGTTTCTGAGTGTCTATCTGGCGTTTGGGGAGGCATCGGCGAAATTCGGTAAGGTGGGCGCCGATGAAACTGTGGACTGTTAGAAGCGCTTGCACTTTCCGGTTCGTACATAACTCTACCTCTTCGCCCTAGACCAGGCCTGTCTAGTCCATTTTTGGGATTGCTAAGCTTATGATTGTCTCTGGGCTTGCTGTTGTCTGTCTTAATTTCAGGCTCATTCGTTGTTGATGCGCTTTCATTCTGTAATGGTGTCTTTTCAATATTACTCAACACAATTAGTGAACCTGTATCGTCAAGAAAGACACCCTTCGTAGAACCGTTTGGTTTAATTTTACGGAGACTTTCATTATCGGAATCCACTACAATAAATACATTGCTAAGAGTTGTGGCTTCACGTGTGCTCTTTGGTGTCTTTGAGTCATGTCTCTTTGCTGAATCTTTTCTCTCATTTTGGTGAGAGTCATCACTGCAATCACACCCGACACAAAACGCTCCCGAGAAAACGAACTGACAGAAGAATTTACTATGTTTCGTGCAACAAGAACATCGATTGTTGGAGCAGCGACGTCTGCGACAGCATCCGCAGATCCATGTGAGATATCCAGGTCTCCAGAAACACCAGTAAAGGATGAAGGGAGATAACGCACCCAGAACTGCTAGAGAAATCCAAAGAGGTACTAAATTTGCTGGTTCGTTTACTGAAACAAAACAAAAGACGGTTTAATGATCTTTTTGAAAAAGTTCTTGCCATAGTATACCGTACGCAAAAAGTTAAATTTCACAAATTATAGGCCTATTATATTAGGCCCTACTTGAAACAACAAACAGTTTTGATCTTGTTTTTCATTAATTCGTTGAAAATAATCCATAGTATACTGTTATTGAATATTTTGCAAGGGTTTGCTTTCAAATTAATATTAATGTTGTATGGTTTACTAAAAATTGTTTAACAAATTTCTTGTCCATTATGGACAAAGCGGCGATCGATTTAGACTTTACCGAGGAGAAGAGGAATGGGCCATTGAGGCCTACACAATTGGTTCACGGTATGCCATAATCTTCTATCCGTACACGATATTTAAAGCCGATACACCCACTAGCCCCGTAAACTCCGTCTTTGATGGAACGATATTCAAACATCTACCGATCGTTTACTATTGTTTTGTTGGTCTACCTACGAAACTGATATTTGTTTGCGGAAGAGTGGACTGGTGTGGGTACTGTGCATCATGACCGGGTAAATAAAAATAAACTTTTTTGTTTTGGACCCATTCTTACCTGGACAGAATGAAGGCGAGTTATCGGACTGGTCACTGTAATCTTCTCCTCCACAGTTCGAGATGTTTTGTCTGTCACACGTAACTTCCTTTGATATGCAGCGAGCTGTTGTGCTGCACATAAAATCAGACGACATACAGTCGGTTGCTGTGAAGATATGTCGAAAAAGATTAGGAACGCGTTCAACTTTCAACAGAAAGAACTTCAAGCATTCGGTGTAATTGTTATTGGGAACAACCATTGTGGAAATAACCTAATGTAAAATGAGCCTTTTAGTTTAATATAACGTTTAACAATCTGGTCATATAATCACAAATAATCCTTTTTTGGAGGTGTAATTTGCGCTTACTCTACCTCTAATCGCTCCGAGATTTCACTATCAAATGTAGTTTCTTACCTATCGGTGGTTCGGCAAGACTGCCCATGACTGACGCTGCGCGTCTTAAACTGCGGTGGTGTACCTTTCCTATCATTAGACACTATTTCTACACCCCTGTTATACTTTTACACTTTTGGAGTCCTTAGGAGTTCGGCGTGACCCACCAGAACCAGAACCAAAACAGAAATGATGTAACGGGGAAAATGCATTTCTTGAGGAAAGACTTGATTTACTTGCACGAATGAGAATACAAGAAAAATCGTAACTGCAGTCGTAACTTAAAAGGTCTATTGACATACGTTTACTCTTAAAAGATTATATTTTCAAAGTATTTGTATTTTAATGGTGATAATATACATATATACGGTATATATTATATATATGCGTTAAATGTATATATATATATAGGCCCTGTCTCTTATACACATCTAGATGTGTATAAGAGACAGGGTTTAATTTTACGATGCCGTAAAAACTGCTCTGAAGTCGATTACACTCCAATCGCCATCAGATACCACGCGGATCGTCATGCTGGTTCCCGTTGATTCTATCACGCTTGGTCTGACGGTGCCGCAATGGTTCTCCAACAACACTGGCGATCCGGAGGACGTACCATCATATAACCATAACGAGGCATGAGAGCAGTTTGTATTATCGCCATACCTATATTACATACAAATATATAAAATAAATATGTAAAATAGGCCTATTTTTCGGGTTTCTTGCCCACTCTTCTTTGTGTTTAGCAACAGGCCTACTTATAGTAAGACTACTAATGTTCGTATATTATTATTATTATTATTAGTATTATTATTATTATTAATTATATAGCCCTACAAATAATATTAATAAAAAAAATATTAGTAATGATGATAATTACAGTAATTACTGTAAATAATAATTACAGTCATAATAGATCATTATTTGGCCCTGATTAGTGGAATTACATATGCCTACTATTATGACAATGATAATACTAACCTTTCCGAGATATCAAACCACCTGAAGTCGATCATAACTTTAGTGAAGTCCGCCATAGCCGTGACCCTATATGAACAGTCGACACTTCGGTTGAAATAGTCAAACTGACCCTGAGTAGAATGTGATGACATGATAAACCCATATGTTTCTATATTTTGGCCACAGTTAGCCCTTAACAGAGTTTCTAAAAATGAATACAAACAGAAAACAAAAATAATAAAATATAATGGTTGGGGACTTGTACCACATATATAGACTTCTAGTGGTTAAAATTGCGTAAATAGGATGGTGATTTATTTTACCAATTAATAAAAAGTCTACAAGAGATATGGATTGTAGAAAATGCAATACATTTTATTTGGCTTTTTAAAATATACAGGCCTACTACAAATTATACTAAGGTACTTGTATAAAATGAAGTTACCGATATCATCGCTTTTATTTATCATCTAAATCTAACTAATTTATCATGTAAAGTGAAATCCGATAGAGATCAAAGCGGTCAAGTATTGAGATAGTGGAGTTAAAGATTAAACAATTCTTAATTAAATGTCGTAGTAGAATAATATGGAGGGAAGCAGACTTAACTACACTATAAGTGAATAATTATGAAATTTAAAATGTAAATGCTGGAATGTATGAATTAAAACTAAAAACTCCACTATCTCAATACTTGATCGCTTTGATCTCTATCGGATTTCACTTTGTATATTACAGCATATACTATTAGATAATTGGCCTATAATCCGTCTACATCACTATTGTTGTTTATATTGTACAGTATACAGCTTACAACAGCCAATCTTGTGCATTCAGTAAAGCTGATGAAGGCCAGAGGACTGGCCGAAAATATCTTTCGAAAATAAATAGTGTTCAATAGTCTACATGCCTTGTTGTCATAATT